AACCTCATCCCATTGACCTCACCCCATCCCTCCATCCTGGCCAGCTCCCTAACTGGAGAGCCTCCCACCTTCAAGCAGCCCAACAGCGACGACCTGAGAGCCCTCACCCAGCCTCAGGGGCCCCCCAGGGAAGGAGAATTCCCAAAGATTAAGACCAAGGGGCCGTGCCCAGCCCGGGCACAGCTCTACCTTGAGGTGCTCCAGCATGGTTCGTTTCTGGGCAAAGAGCAGGGGGCAGTCAGGACACTTGAAGACGCTGACCCGCTGGTTGAGGAGGTGCTGGTCGAAGTGGGAGGAGAGCAGGGGCTTGTGGGTGAAGACTGTGTCACACATAGCACACTTGTAAATCATCCTGTCAGGGGGAAAAACCAGCCCTCGTTGGTTTGGGGGAGGAGATCCGTGGAAGAATCCTCTTGGCATGAGGGTTGGGAGCAGCCCCGGGCACAGCCAAGGGGTGGGCAAGGGGGAAGGGGGTGGGTGGAGGTCCCCAAGCTGCTGCTGAGCTCCTCCCCCAACTCCCCCCCCACTGAGGGTGTGCCTGGTTCTTAAAAAGCACAGAATTAGGGATTTGGTTTGGTGGGGAGAGACCCTTAAGGTCACAGAGTTCCAACCATGAACCCAGCACTGAGCCATGTCCCTCACCCCACATCTCCACGGCTTGGGAACCCCTCCAGGGGTGGGGACTCCACCACTGCCCTGGGCAGCCTGGCACAGCCCTGGGCAACCCTCCAGGGCAAGAAATTGTTCCTCAGGGGCAACCCCAACCTCCCCTGGGGCAACTTGAGGCCGGTTCCGCTCCTCCTGTAGCTCCTGGGGAGCAGTCTGCCCCTCACACTCACTTGGACTGCTGGTTGCTGAAGCCAGGGTGCTGGGTGTAGACGTGGGCGTGGGCACTGGGGGCCGACTTGAACGCCATGGGGCAGATGGGGCACTTGTGGAACACCTCGCAGTGGGAGGTCTGGATGTGGGACTTGATGGAGTTGACCCCGCCGAAAACCACGGAGCAGCTGGGACACCTGCAGAGAGGGAGGCAAAGGGTGGGCCACCAAGGGTAAGGGGTGGGCAACCAACGGCCCAGGGGGGCTCAGTTGGGCCACGGAGGCTGCACGGGCTCAGAGAGAAGAGAAACAGGAGCACAAGGACCCCCCTCAAATCCAACCATGGGGCTTGGGAAGAGCCTCTACCCCAACAGACACTGGGGAGTCCTCCCACCCAGCCCTGGTGGCTCCAGGGGAGCAGGCAGGTCACCAGGATGAGCAAGGAGGGATTGGGGAGGGGTCTAAAGCTGCCAGCCATGAGTTGAACCAGTGGCCAGGAGGAGGAGACCACCGTGGCTGAAGGGGTGAAAGCCAGAGAAGGGCTGAGGTGAGACCCTCCCCCTCAGCCTGGCACCAGCGGGGGAGCAGGAACCTGGATTCCCAACCCACCCAAACCCCTCTGTGGACGTGGGACTGTGCCCTCCTGGGGGGGACTGTGCCCTCCTGGGGGTGTCTGTGCCCTCCTGGGGGTGTCTGTGCCCTACCTGTAGCCCACCCTGCGGGAGAAGTGCAGGCAGGACTCCTTCAGGTGGGCCTCAAAGTTGGCCAGCAGGAAGTTGCCCCCGCACTCGGGGCAGACGTGGGGGGGTCGGTTCTTGTGCATCCTCTGGTGGGCGTTGAAGCTGCAGCGGTTGGACATGATCATGGGACACGTCGTGCAGACCTGGGGGCAGGAGAGAGGCCAGAGGTTCAGCCTGCCACGTCCCCACGGGCACAGAAAAAAAAGGGTTGAAGCTTCCCCCCCCAAGCCACGTGTCGCTGGGGAAAAAGGGTCAGGCCTGGAGCATCTTCTGTGCCAGGCCAGGCTGAGAGCCCTGGGGCTGCTGAGCTGGAGCAGAGAAGCCTCAGAGGGGATCTGAGCAGTGCTGAGCAAGAGCTAAAGGGCCCCCGGGGGGCAAGAGGCTGGGGCCAGACTCTGCTCAGTGGTGCCCAGGGACAGGCCAAGGGGCAACGGGCACCAACTGGAACCCAGGAGGTGCCACCTGAGCAGGAGGAGAAACTTCTTTGGGGGGAGGGTGGCCGAGCCTGGAGCAGCTGCCCAGAGAGGCTGTGGAGTCTCCAAACTGGAGAGACCCCAAACTGGGCTGGGCACCACCCTGGGCACCCTGCTGGGGGGGAGCTGCTGGAGCAGGGGGTGGGTGAGATGATCCCCAGAGGTCCCTCCCAGCCCCACCACGCTGGGATTTTGGGATTCTGGGACTTCTGGGCTCGTTTTTGGAGGTACCCTGCCTGCAGCAGCTCACTGGCTGACTCCTGGGGGTGTTTCCCAAGCAGACAATTTGCCTTTCCCAGGTTTTTCCTCATGGATGGGTCCCAGATGGGTGGGAGGGAGCGAGGGCTCTCTCCTGGGGGAGATGAGGATCCTCCTCCAGGTGACCCATGCCAAAGGATCCTCTGGATCTTTGGGGTTTTAAAGGAAGAATGATGCTGTTTGTAGGTGCTGGTGGTTTAGGGAGGAGCTGGGTGCAGGGCCAGAGCTCCTAGGGGAGCAGGGCTCTGCTTGAACAGCATCCTGCCTGCAGCAGCAGCTTCTGAGCAAACAGAGTTACCAGGAAACAGCCAATTCCTTCTGTGCCAAGGGGCCCAGGGGGGCTGGGGGCAAAGGGGAAGGTGAGGACGTGCTGCAGCCAGCCAGGATCTCAAGGTTGGCTCACAAAGATGGGGGAAAAAAAAACCCAAACATCCCCCACCTTGTTTTCTCCAGGCTCCATTTGTGCCTCATGCCAGGGGAGGAGGAAGCAGCAGCCAGGGCTCTGACAGGGATGTCCCTCAGTGGGTGCAGTGGGCAGGACAGGGCAGGGCAGAGCCACCCTGGGCACCCCTGGGGCACCAGTGTCACCTGCTGCCAACCATTTTCCCAGAGCCTCATGGGCCCGAGCCAAACCCAGCTCTCACCTCCTCCTTCCTGCAGGAGCTTTGGCAGAGGGAGGGATTGGGAATGGACGGGGCAGGAGCTGTCTGGGTCTCACTGGGGAGGGATGGGATCGTCAGGTTGGGTGGGTGGGGAGAGAGCT